ATATATATATATAACAAATAATTGTTCAAATTAAACTAAATTCGATAAGATTATTGTACTGTAAAATAAAAAAAAGATTATATAATTTAAACAACAACAACAACATATTATTATTATCATTGTTATTGTTGTTAAAGAACAACAGTAAAATTACAACACTAATATTCAACACTGTCTTAATTTCTTTGCTTTGTTAAACCATAGCTTTTATTTTGGCAAAAAAAATTTAAATAAAAAAATGCAGGGTGACTTTAAATCTTCTCTTTATTTCCATAATCAATTTATAAATGATTCCCATTACAAATTTGCGAAGAAGCACCATGAAAAAATCCCAACACCTTTCTGCCTCACACCTCCTTTTGTGTTTCACGTGAGAAAGAAAGACTGGTTTGAAACGAAGTGGAACGGGACGGTGTGTGTCTCACCTGGCCAGAGCTGGAGCAGGTAATGAAGGACCTCGATGTGTTTCTTGAAGTGCAGAGCGCTGGCAAGCTCCTCGGAGTCGATGAAGACCCGGTTCCCGTGGCAGGACGCCTCCTGTCTCTGGCTGAGCAGAACCGGCCCGAAACACACTGCCAGGTTCTGACAGGTCATTTTATTCACCTCGTGATGGGACGCCACGCGCTTCAGGTGATCCAGAAGCTTCCGCAGGGTCGCCTGAGCACAAACACACACGTGTGTGAGAGATCAGAAACAGGACAGCAGATGGCTTCCTTCCAGAACGCTCCGGTACCTTCTCAACCTCCGGCAGGAGCTCCAGTGAGCTGACGGCGTGATCCGAGTCGGCCGGGTCGTTCTCGCAGCCGCTGCTTCCCATCTGCAGCGGCCTCTTGGCCATCGAGTCCAGAACAGACTCGTACAGCTGCTTGGTGATGAGAGGATGAGGAAGCTCACGGAGAAAGTCCTTCAGCACGCCTGCAGAGAGATTATTATCAATGTTGAAAACGGTTGTGCTGCACAATATTTTTGTGGAAACTGTGATGCATTTTATTTTTCAGGATTCACAGATGAATAGAAAGTTCAGAAGAACAGCTTTTATTTGAAATAGAAATCTTTACTGTCACTTTTGATCAATTTAATGTGTCCTTGATGAATAAAAGCACAAAAAAACAAAAACAAAACTTACTAAGCCCAAATTTTTTAATTGTCATGCATAATATATCACACAGCTCTAGTCCTCATTACAACACTGACCTCAGTTTTCCCGCTAAATGTTACACTCTGTTCCTTCTGTGTGTGTGTTTGATGTGTGTATGTTTGATGTGTGTGTGTTTGATGTGTGTGTGTGTGTGTGTGTGTCTGTGTGTGTGTGTGTGTGCGCGTGCGTGCGTGTGTGTGTGTGTTTGTTGTGACACTCATAGAGCTGAAAACAAAGAAGCTGCTGGCCTTGTTACTGTGTGTATTTTGCAAGCTTTGTGTTGACCTCTGGTTAATCTCATTCACACAGGCCGTATGACACACACACACACACACACACACACACACACAGGTTCATTCACATTTCATCTTAATACTCCAAAACTAGACTTCAAGTAAAATGGTTTTAGTTCAGTGTGAAATCACAGCAAACGTGTGTGACTGTAGCATGTGTGCATGTAAGCGTTCACATTCAGTACCTGTAATGACGTTAATATCAGGGAAGTTGTTTTCCGAGAGCTCGACGAAGTGACTGTCCCTCTCGAACGCTTCCCGCAGCTCCTTCTTCACCGCAGCCGAACCGCACAGACGATACAGACCCACCACCTGTCAGTCAAACACACAACCGTCATACAACAGCACAAATCTGATCCGTCAACAACACCTAGAACCATCATGCAATGCTGAAATTAAAACCACCACTGTAGTAATTAAGAGGAATCAGCTCTATTTTGTATACAGTTAGTAAATATATATATACACACACACACACATTTAATGATTTAATAATTATTTTAATTTAATTATTAATTTGTGAGTATTATTGAGAAATGTCAGAACACATTTTTATCTGTGTTGCATATTTTTATTAAAATATAATAATACAATAATAATACTCAAAAAATGTGTAAACTAATTAAAATATTAAAGTAATAATAATAATATAATACTCAAATTAATAATTAAATTATTTAATACATTCATTCTTAAAATATTTATTATTATTATTATTAAAATCCTGCAAAATACAGATGGAAATGTTCGATAAGGTCTGACAAAGAGTGAAATGTAAAGCCTGGTTAAAGATAAATGAAAGACATCAAACGGTTTTCTCCCTCCAACTATGTATCAGTACAGTACCAGTACAAGTGCATGTGAGTAAAAGTCTTTAACTTAAGCCTTCTTTTTGTTGCACAAGATGTAAAATTATGACAGCCTGCACGTAGAAGCACATCTCCTTATTATCCAATTCTTAAAAAACATTTCCTGTTGGCTGGTCGGAAAGACTGCAGGTATGGAAAGATCCGGAGTCTCAGCTGGCATGAATCCGGACCAGCTCACACCTGCAATCCAGCTCAACACAGAGTCTGACAAACAACTGCAGTACAAACCTGCACATTCACAACACATTCATTAATTCAAATGACTTCTAGCGCCTGCTGTGGGCGGAGTTAAGAACAGAGAGAGCCAAACAGATTCAGCACTCATTGCAACTGCCTAATGCATACTACACTACATATACTGCATACTATTTTTAAAAATTAAATAAGCATTATGCAATGACAATGCATAACGCATAAATAAACAAATGCACAAAAGCATAAGTGCATAAACACAAACAAATGCACAAATAAATGCATAAAAGCATAAATAAAATGCATAAATAAAAGAATTTAAAAATACAAAAATAAAGGCAAAAATGCATAAATAAATGCAAAAATAAAGAAATGCATAAATAAACAAATGAACAGATGGATAAAAAAATAAATGCATAAATAAAAGCATGAATAAATACAAAAATAAATGCAAAAAATCATAAATAAATGCATACGTGCGTAAATAAATGCAAAATTAAACAAATGCTAAACTAAATGCATAGGCCTAACTGACTAAATAAATATAAATTATGTATGTATTTAATATACAGTATATATTGCACACAATTTAGTACGTAGTAAGCTAGCATTTCATTCCAAACACAGCCTTGCACATTCTGCAATGATTTAGAAGCACAAGCTACAATAAACAGAAGAAATTCCCTACAATGTGAAACAGCACCTTGATTCAGACCAGTGATGTGTGTGTGTGTGTGTGTGTAATTCTAAAAATGTCACCCAGAGGAAATAATAGCTTGACCACAGTCTTGTTAAAAACAGCTGAAGAGTTTCCTGAATCCACTAAAACCTTCCTCTTTTCTTCCCCTAGTAAAGGACACATCCTGGTTCTGGGTTGGTCTTCAATTTTAGCTTCGCCTGTAACTCTGCATGTGACTGCAGATTCAACGCTACCGCTAACGTAACATGCATTAAACCCAAAGAGGAATTTTTTATTTGGGCACAAGCCAAATGGCTAAACATGGACTCAATGCTTGGTTTCCGGAGCTGCTCTTCAGTAGGTCAAACTTTAGAGGTCACAGGCTGATTCATAAAATAACCGTTCGAAATGAACCTCATAACTCAAAACTCCGAGGCACAGAAAGTATATTTTAAAGTTATGAATTCAAAAGAACAGTTCACCCAAAAATTTATTGTGTAATCTTGAAAATATAAATTGCAATTTTGTTGTATGGAAAAGAGAATACTCTGCATATAAGAACAAAAATTCAGAGAAAAAAAAGAGACAAAATGTTCATTTTGTAGGTGAACTATTCCTTTAAATAGGCAGGAAGGGCTGTGGAAAAACCCTCACGGCACACAGCTAATCATTTACCCGCACAGGTTGGTGGTTTTCCCCTGCCCATAGTTCACAAGAAACATTCCTTTAGCATACGTGACCTGTGCATGTTGTGCGCCTGAAGCCCCGAAGAGTGGCTTTCTTAAGACAAACTATACTGAGTTCAGGCTTTAGTAAAGAACTGTGAGCAGCTAAGCTCTGATATTAAACCAAGTTCACTTATTTCAAGAACAATTGGTTGAACTGAATATTTTTTGAATATTTACTGTGAAATTCCACAGTACATACTGCAGTATACAGTCCATAATTACTGTCTTAAACAGCAGACTATTAAACTAAACACTTAAACTATGTTGCTGTCACATGACCAAGCATATTTACATTGGCAAGAAACATCTAATTATCATCTCAGAAATAAATGCAATAATTGCACATTTATGCATCTCTGGTATCAGGAATACCACAGACTAGAGCTTCTGAAAAATGTCAGTTTTAGTAGTGTAGTGTAGTTTGTTTGGAGGTTAATAGCACTTACATACTGCACAGTATGTAGTGTATGCTTAAAAAATGAAGAAACCATTGTATTCAGTAGTATGAAGTATGCAATAATCATTATTTTGAAATAGTATGCTGCACTTGTCACTATTTATGCATAAATATACAAATGCATAAACAAATGCATAAATAAATGCATGAATAAATACATAAAAACAAGGAATAAGCTTGAAAATAGTATTCAATAGTATTAAGTATGCAATAATCATCGGTTTAAACTTGTATGCTGCACTTGTCACTATTTATGCATAAACAAATGCAAAAATACACAAATGCATAAATAAATGCATAATGCATAAATAAATAGATAGATAAATCCATACATATATAATTGCATAATAAAACAAATGCATGCATAAATAAAATAAAAACAAGGAAAAAGTTTAAAAAGTATGCAATAATCAGTATGCTGCACTTGTTACTTGACCTCACTACATTGCATGAATCCTTGAACCATCTTGTTGGGTTTGGCAATCAATGTAGTTGTTTGTTCCGAGGCTCACAACTCCTAAATATGAAAAACTGCACAGTTTTTAATGCATACTGCATACTAACTTAAAATAGGATCTGAAACACTATACAGTGTGCAACAAACATTTGTAGTATGTTACACTGTTGTCACACGACCTTGCTAGGTTGCATCATCTCAAAAAAGTGATGATTGGGAGTAGCACAAGAATAAGTAAAACCATGCTAAATTTAATATACAGATATATGGGCTTTAGCTGCAGATTTAGCATTCGGAGGCTGACAAAGCTCCACAAAGGGGTCAGCTGTGGTAAAAACACCCTCATGATCCCAGCAGAACTTTAAAGCTTTCCCAAAGGACCTACAAGAATTTTTACACCGATATGGGCTGAAAGTCTCTCTCAGCTGATCTAGAATCAGATTTTCCATGTGTGAGTATTGAGCTGCAGGGGCAAATCTGATCTGAGAACAGCAGTCGGAGTTGTTTTGTGGGTTGACGGCAGACACACTTAGCATTAAACTCTGGGTGACACTGTAACAGAGACAGATTGTGTGTGTGTATAACAGGGATGAATGGCCAGGACTTTGGCAATATGCCTGTGCACACAAACCACCGAGAGGCCTTGCTAAGCTTGTTTGTGTGAGTGTGTAATGTTCATGGACAAGGACTTTAGAACGGTTGGCGAGATCACTTTAACCGAAGCCTAACAAATGACAGAAGAGACCCATGGGCTACAATCACATTCCAAGCTTTAGTGCTCAGTTTTCCGGCTGTTCACATTATTTTGTAAATGTGGCCAATATCAGATTCAAGTGTAAACTGGTAACGGTCCTGAAATTACCCACATGCGCAAAAGAACAACAAAGGCGGCATGCAGCAGGCTGTCATACGGAAGTAAACATGGAGGCACTGAAGTCAGCATTTACACATTTATTTATAAGGTGATGTGCCATGGAAGCCAGACGAGGATAAGGGGAAAGAGAGCAAAGCTAGTCTTGTACAGTTTTTCCTCTAGTTTTGCTTGGAGAGAGCCGTCACCGTAATACTTAGGCGAACCTCACTGTCCCTGCACTGACTACCTCCGCAGCTGTCTTCCATATTAACCAAGTGACCAAAGAACTTCTGGTATGTAAAATCTTTGGAATGACTCCCGTCATCCAGAGTGACGTAAAAAGCAGCATGAACCGATATGACTGTTCAGACTGAGGTCACACTGCAAAACATTGGACTTAGGATGACATATGGAAGTGGCCCAAACCAGAATTGGAAAGATCAGATTCCACGTGGTTTGTGCTGTTCACACTTCTCGTACACGAGTATAAATTGTATTTGGGCCACTTTTAGGCCTGCAGTCTGAACGTAGCCATGGAGATACACTTCAAGGCAAAATACGTAATTTCTGGGCAACTAGTGGGACCAATTACAACTGCAAATTACCAAGCAAGTTTCCCCAAACATTCCTACTGCTCTTTCTGACCCATCATTGGTAGTCACATGCCAAACTCTTCGAAGACTCTTTTGAAGGTACCACAGTGAGACACTCTTCAGAAAGTAAATGTCTCAAATTCTTCTAGGACTCTTTTGAAGGTACCACAGTGAGACACTCTTCAGAAAGTAAATGTCTCAAATTCTTCTAGGACTCTTTTGAAGGTACCACAGTGTGACACTCTTTAGAAAGTCAACTTCTCAAACTCTTCTACAACCCTTTTAAAGGTGCCACAGTGTGACGTTCTTTTAAAAGTCAACATACCAATGGCTTACTTCTAGTTGCAGATTAAACATGAATAGAAGTACTTTGTTAAGTACTTTGACAGCAAAAGAATTACACACACTTCCCCTTTAAATTGGATATTTGGTTTGGAACTGCATGCAGGGTAAAGAACCATAAAGATCCGCTCCACTTACTCACCTGACAACCCCGCCTCTCGATCTCAGAGATGCATTTCTCGATGAGCAATGGAACCATTAATCCTGAAGCTTCCCGTTCCACCACGCGCCGAGCCTCTAGGCCAAACACCTGCATTTCATGATCCCCCTCTGGGCCATCAAGAGAGTTTTGCCTCTGCTCCATGAGGCTCAGCTTCACGTAGATCATTCCACGTGGTTCCAAGCGGACCGCAAGCTGGTGCGTCTTACTCACACGAAACAAGGTCGGAAGAACCACAGTTCCATGGCAGCACACTCGATTCCTTCGCGGAATTGACTCCCAACTGAAGACGACAAGTTTGAGGTGCTGAGCGTTCTCCAGCTCAATGTTGAAGGTGTGGTCCATATCCAGGAAGGCTGTCCGACAGGTCAGCAAGGCCGTGCGAGCTTTGTTTACAGAGTCCACCTGGATGGCGCAGTAGACGTCGCGAGAATCAACCCGCGGTGGCTTTAGGTCCTCTGCGCCATAGAAGTGCAGACTCATTAGTCCAGAGATGTACGTTAGGCACTTTGGCTGCTCAGAGAAACTGTACGAACGGAAGGCATCGATATCCAGCTCCGTGCCAGGGAGCTTCGGACTTCCGCCATTCCCATTGGGATCCCTGTCTCGGGCTTTACCGTTCTTTCTGTCCGAGTTTCCGTGCTTTCCTGACTTGGCTACAAGTTCGGGTGAGTCTCCATCACTTAGGTAACCTCCCTTACTGGCCGATTTGGGAACGCCACTGGTGTTGCTCCTTTTCTTATCAAAGTTGTGCTGCGAAGAAACACTGCTGTCCAGATGGTATCGCCAAATCACATTACCACTCGCCATTGCAGTCGTCACACCCGCCGGGGACAGTCTGGGCCGGGACTGGCCCAACTCTGCCATCCCATTGGCTCTAGGTGAGTGGGCCCTGGTTTCTGATTGGCCATTGCTGATGGCCACAGTGCTAGATGGGGTCCCTTTAACACTAAGCTTCCGACTCAGATCAGGCAGTTTCTTCATCTTCATGGACAGTTTTCGGACAGTCCGTGGTGACTTGATTTTATCAGGAAAAGACCAGTTGATAGCAGTGCTCCTTTTAGCTAGATTGGGACTAGAAGAGGGAGAAAGTCCACCAGTGGATTGCTCTGAAGGATCTGTGGAATGAAAGAGGAGAGTTTAATTAGCACATTGCCCAAGTCATTGATCATAGCGGACCCTCAGATGAACTCAATACCATTTGTGGGAATATGTTTTAAGTGAATCTTATACCACAAGATGAACAAATTCCTTATTCTGATGATCTTATAGACGCTTCAAGGTTTCAAGCAAAATTCTTTCCAAAACAGCAACAGTGATTTGGAATATTCAAAGCAAGATACTTTATTGGTAGAAGCTGTACAAACAAGAGTGCTTTAAGGACTTTAAAAATGTCACAATATATAGACATGTACAATGGAAATAAGCAGAATAAATGACTCCCATCCAAAATCAACGCATGTCCAAGGTGTAACAGTTAAAAACTTCTTACATCTTCAGTTCTTCAAAAAACATGTCATCAGTTATTCCTTTACCTAACCAAAACCCTTGTTGTGTGCTCGAAACAACCCCAATAATTGGACAATTTGACTCATTACCCATAATTCTTTACTATCCCTCCTGGCCTGTTCGCTCCTGTTAAGTCCACAGGATTCCCCTTTGCTCTACGCACATACACGCCATAATAATTATATATATCCCAAAAAGTCCCTTTCCAGTTCAGTCACACACATCAAAAACACAGAACATCTGTGGAACATTCCAGTGCGGAGCGATAAACCAGACTTTCGCTGTGGTTAAATTGCTCTATCAGCCTCAGCATAATTTGCTCTTGCTCTCTCGATTAGTAGATTCCTTTTACGAGGGACTTCTGGACCTGGGATGCAGTTATCGCCGCAGCGTGTTACCGCAGTCCATATGCAGTGGCTGACAAATCAGATTTCTTGAACATGCAACCCAGATCTGTCTCCTTCCTCTACCTCGTCCTCTCTTTCTCTCTGATCACATGGCACGTTCGTCTGCTTTACTACAACAGCGGCTCTGTTGCCACAGTTCAGGGCCTCCTTCAACACCCGCCGTTTGATCTGGTACTCACCCGCCAAGATAAAACAAAGACCCAATTCTGTTAAAGAGAGAGAGACATGCCAGCGTGAAGAGACCAAAAAAGAGGGAGGCAAGGAAAAAGAGAAAGACTGTTTTGAGAGAGACTGAGGTGGAGGAGACGGGACAGAGGTTCACACTTTGGGGTTGCAAGTGTGTGTGTCTTTTTAAAACGACAGTCCACACAAATATGAAGATTTTGTCATAATTTCTCGATCTTGTGTTTTGGAATAGGTCAGAATTAAACCTCTATAAATTCTGTCAGACTAAACTGGGTTAGAAAGACCCACTGAGTCCATTTGCACAATTTGAATGCTTAACTAGACAACTTACATTTATCTAGTTTGTTGTTTATCAGTGCATGTTATTCTGAAGAAAATTGTTTTTCAAAATGTTTTTTTTTTCTGCCTCTGAAATGACATTCCGTTCTGCTGATGTCACAAAGGCCATGTGGGAGGAGAACAATAATGCCAACCAATAATATCAGTCTGCTTTTCACAATCCAATCACACGGCACCAATTACTTACATAAAAGTAAATATAAAAATAATCCATACAAACTGATTGCAAGTGTGAATGAGATTTAAAGCTAATTTGATTTGAGGTGGATCGGAATTTTTTACTAAATATCTGTGTTTCACAGAGGCTGATCTATGACTAATCATATTTTAATCTTGATCATGATTTCTGCTTCTCTCAAATAATTGTAAGTATAATTGCCTGTGATTGGCTCACTTTTTTCTTCATTTGACATTTTACCATTTTCTAAGATTTTACCAGTTTCACAACATAAAGAGAGTGTTAATATTTATCATTTAAATATAATACATGCATATGAGTGGACATTCTGTTGATTTGTGATTATGAAAATGTTCAATAATTCTATTCTATTCTAATTCTAATGAAATGTAAAAAAGAACAATCGTGATTATAATGAGCAAAATAATCATGATCAGTTATCCATTATCCATTATCACACTTTTACACGGTTAAAAGTTGTAAATAAAATTACAGTACATTTTACAAGAAAATATTTCACGTTTAAAAATGTCATGTTTAATTCAATGTGTTATTTGCTGCAATTATTTGTTACATTTACTGCAATTTATTAGTGAAAATGGTTTCAAATGTATTTTTTTTTGTCAGTGTAGCTAATTTAACAGTATACATCCATACATGCAAGTGAAAACCTACAGATGTAAATATGCGACCCCTCACACACACACACACACAGGTTTGTTTTTATGGTCTATGGGGACTCTCCATAGGCGTAATGGTTTTTATACTGTACAAACCCCCCTCACACACACACACACACAGGTTTGTTTTTATGGTTTATGGGGACTCTCCATAGGCGTAATGGTTTTTATACTGTACAAACTGTATTTTCTATTGCCCTACACCAACCCTACCCCTAAACCTACCCCTCACAGGAAACTTTCTGCATTTTTAGATTTTCAAAAAAACTCATTCTGAATTATTTATAAGCCTTTTGAATTACGGGGACACTGAAAATGTCCTCATAAATCACCTTCTCGTTGTAATACCTATGTCATACCCATGTTATTATACAAATTTGTGTCCTCATAAACCACATAAACATGCACACACACACACACACAGAGTCTCAGGGGCCCAGATAAGGAGGCAAGGGTGCATTCCAAAACACACACCCCTGTTCTCGTCCACTCAGGAAACAGCATCTCTAATCAAAACACTAGATTTATTTAAAGAGTTTATATCCTGAAAATCTAATTTCTATTGACATACTGTAACCTTTTTGTATATGCATTGTGTATATGAATGGGTTAATAATGCTCACTCACTGACTGTGTGTGCATTTACTTTACATTTTTGATTGTGACAGGTGGTGAGTGGGTCGATCTGGTCACCAGTCACACTAATTATAGAGTGTCAGAAGACATTTTACAGCCTTAAATCTGACACACACACACACACACACACAAGTGTGAATTTGAATTGAACTGCTCACACCCCGCAGGATGTTGAAATGGAATTTGAATAGTAATGACAGGAAGAGGAATTTACTGAATTACAATTGAATGAAATTCAAACAGAGTCACACAATAGAGGGCTGCCATTTGCCCAACACAAGCTCCAAAATGTAAATGATTAATCATTAATTTGTAAGGCGTTACTCCCTAAATAGGAATGTAGAATATATTTTTATTATATTTCTGTAAAATAAGTTTAATACTTTTTTGACAGCTATCAAAACATTGTTTTCAGATAATTTTACAAAACACACACACACACACACACAGACACACAGACACACACAGACACACACACACACACACACACAGACACACAGACACACACACACACACAGACAAACAGACACACACGCAACACTCACAAGGTCAGGGTGAACTGCTGCCTTTCGCAACGCCACACTCAGATCCGGTTACCTGCCACCCATGGGATTGTGGGTAATATTATCGTCTCCATGTCATCACTATGACATGTAAAAGCCGTGCGAGCGCTCAGACGTCTCTGTTTGTGTCGCTCGTGTTTCGGAGGGGTGTTGGGACGGGAGCTAAAGTCAACAGCACAGGAGGAAAGATCCGGAATGGAACACAGCACAGCATTCAGAACAGAGCCTAAAACACACACACACACACACTCACACGCACGCACACACACACGCGCACACACACGCACAAACACACACACACTCTCACACTCTCACTCACACTCACGCACACACGAGCACGCTTCTCACACAAACGTGGCAGAAGCTGAACCAGTGCACTGAAGAACTTCACATCAACACTGAAGAGTCACAAAATGACCTTTAAAAGACAAACAACCATTTCGCTTTTGTAAAGTAACAGTTTCAAGTGAAACAAAATATTTGACCAAAAAAAACATTGATTTTATCCAAAAAGTGGACTTTATGTTCCGGGACAGATCCAGACCTGGACTGTGTTCAGAAATCAAAATAGCACACTAACATACTGCCTGTGCTATTTCCACAGTGTGCATCGAATACCTGCATGAGCTACTACATTTGCTAAAGTGTGCATTATACAACAAACCACACAATGCAGTGCACTTGATTTCACATATCATGTGACCAGTGTTATTTGAATATTATTCATATACTATTATAGTTTTTATGCATATTTTGAATAAATATTTTTTTATTTTATACTTTTTTTTTAGTACCTTTTAATGTGCTTTTGTCATTTTTATTAGTTTGTTCATTTTAAATACTACTATTTAGTTTTTTTATTTTAATTTTAGTTTATCTTGATTTGTGCTTTTATCATTTTTATTAGTTTGTTCATTTTAAATACTACTATTTCGTTTTTTTATTTTAATTTTAGTTTATCTTGATTTGTGCTTTTATCATTTTTATTAGTTCTTTTTTATTTTATTTTAAATAATACTATTAAGGTTTAATTTATTTTTTATTACAGTTTTAGTTTTAGTTCCATTTAGTATTTAATTTTATTTTATTCCCAGTTAGTAATTTTCATAAATATAAAAATAAAATAAAAAATAGAAACGTTGCCTTCACAACTAACAGTAATAAGTTTGTTTTTCATCTACAATTTATATTTTATTTTATTGTAACTTTATTTTTAAATGCGCAAATTTTTAAAAATGATTTATTATAGTTTTTATCCATCTTTTTAACTAGCTTTTAATTTTATACTTTCAGTTTTGTGCTGTTATCAATTTTATTTGTTTTTGTTTATTTTACTTGTTTATATCACTATTTAGGTTTATTTCTGCTCTAATTTGAGCTTTTATTTATTTTATAATACATTTCAGTACTCCAACTTAAACTAAACTTTATTTAAGATTTATTTCAATTCGCAAAATGTTTTATTATTTTTAGTTTTAGTTAACATTAATAACCCTGCATGCGACAACATTTTTCTGTACTACTGTTTGCAAGTGAAATGCAATTGGTTTCACACGCTATTTTTAAAACACATTAAAGCACAAACGTGAGATTAAGCAGCAGGTTGATTTTTACACTCAAAAAGCTCAAATACGTCACAAAATCTAACAAACAGACAAAAAGTCACTTCATATAACAGAGCAGAAATTCGCCCTCTCAGATCCAACCAGACGCTAATTACAGGTTTAACATTATCAGCGTAATGAATGTGACCACATCACACGAGCGCTGGTCAAACAAACAGAGCCGACGCTAACAGACATTAACTCAAAGATGTGTTTGTAGCTAGTATTTCAGCTCAAGGGAAGCGTTATGCTGACAGCTTCACTAGTTCGCTGACAGGAGTCTTTAATAGACATGACTGCATTAGTGAATAATGCCACACATTCATACGATGCTAAACATAGAGCTGCGAGAGCCCTGAGAGCCAGAGATGATATGTGACCCTGGAGCACAAAACCAGTCATAAGGGTCCATTTTTCGAAATTGAGATGTATGCATCATCTGAAAGCTGAATAAATAGCTTTCCATTGATGTAAGGTTTGTTAGGATAGAACAATATTTGGCTGAGATACAACTATTTGAAAATCTGGAATCTGAGGGTGCAAAAAAATCTAAATATTGAGAAAATCTCCTTTAAAATTGTCCAAATTACGTTCTTAGCAATGCATATTACTAATCAAAAATTAGGTTTTGATATATTTACAGTAGGAAATTTACAAAATATCTTCATGGAACATGATCTTTACTTAATATCCTAATGATTTTTGGCATAAAAGAAAAATCTATAATTTTGACCCATACAATGTATTGTTGGCTATTGCTACAAATATACCCCAGCGACTTAAAACTGCTTTTGTGCTGCAGGCTCACATATGATACAAGCCAGAAAACCTGTGCAACGTTCCTTTAGCCTAGAGCTGCATGAACCGAAAACCATGATATGGCTTAGTGTGATTATTGATAAATAAATGCGCTGTGTGTTTAAGAGTGAAGCGCGGCACTGTGTTCATTGACACGCGAGCAGCTCATGATCCGGTGTTTTCAGTATCTTTGTTCACAGTAAATTCTGCTTCATGTGAACTCATCTCTGTTTCTGAGTTTGGGAGGCTCATAACCTGCATCTGAAAACACAACATGCGCCAAACATGTTCACAAACTTGTAATAAGAAGTGCTTATAAACCTTTTATTAAGCTTTAAGGGCTGCCTGTGGTTTTCCAGCAAAATAAAAGCGGTTTAACCTTTGAAAATTAGGAAATTAATACCATGGACATTAATATTCCAATTTTACTGTTGCTCTGTAAAAAAATATTTAAAATAAAATAATAATAATTGTTATTATTATTCCATTTTTTCTTCACACGTCTCATTTTGTTTAATATTTTTTGTAACAAACATAAAATAACATTAATTATTATTACTAATATTATCATTATTATAGCGTTTTTTATATATACCGGTAATCACATATTTTGGGGCCAAACTGTGCAGACTTACAAACAAGCAAAAACTGTACAAAATGTTTATTTTTTTATTTTAATATTTTATTTTACAAGAAAATTCAAAATTCAAAATTTCACATTTAACATATAAAATTATTATTATAATTTTTATTACTATTATTATTATCATTATTATATATATTTTTTATTATTTTATAGT